ACAAGTGAACAGTTATCTTTTTCTTTTGACTTTCATTAGGTAATATAAGGTCCATAAAGGAATCAACTACTATAAAAACAAATTGCTTGGGTCTTTACCTAATAGTGTAAAAGAACTTCAGGAACTTTTGCAGAAATGAAGAAAGAATTGCACATGGACAACTTCAGTGTTCAGTGTGTCCCTGAAATAGGCATATTCAAAGGCTTGGGCTCTGATCCAAATCCCATGTCAATAGGATTGTTCAGACTTTTAGAGACCTTGCTTAGGCCCTCGGACAGTTACATGTATGCTCTGTTTCTTCAGTGTGGAGTGGAGAAGTTGTTGAGAGCTCAGTTAAGTTTTCCACCTCTTCAGTTTCCTTACTCATAAGATTTTCCCGGAGGAGAAGGCAATGTACAAGCAACCCCCCACCCCATACGATGCTGTAACTTTCTAAGATTTGAGATTCATTTCTGCTAACATTGTCTTGCTAAATATGTCTCACAGGCCAGCTATCATAGATTGTGATGTGGAGATGCATGCATGCACCTCACTTTACAGCTTAGAGGGAGAAAAATGGTGATGCAATAGTATCATATGCTGAGCACTTAGGAACTGACAAGTGACAGTAGCAAGAGCAGTGAAGTGTTTTAAAACAGGCAATGCTGCCTGGATAATGAAACCATCTATCTGGGCAGGAAGCCTGTATGACCACATATAGGTTCAGCTTGTTAGCCATCATGTTTTCCCGTGCTTGGGAGAAAGTGAGTAATTTGATACACGGACCACAGATTTGGAAAGTCTTGTTTCTGAAGTCTTTGGCCTTTGGTAGGAATGTAGCTGCTATTACTGAAGTATCATTGCCTCTCTCTGCAGAATCTCTCAAACTAAATGCTGTATATTTTCCTTTTCAAAAAGAAGGTGCTGTTTTGCATGACTCCCTACACTAAAAACAGCAAGCCATTTCTTCTGCCAAAAAGTTGTTTAAATATGGATGTGATAGGAACAAAGGGAGGAAACAATCAAGGACGTAGAGGCTGTAGTCCTTATTCTCCAGTGACTGCTGGTATGACATGGAAAGAGTCACTCAACTTCTCTGTGTCTCAATTTCCCATCTGTAAAATGGGGTTAAAATACCTACCTCACAGGGGTGTTGTGAGGCTTTTAAAAATAATGTTTGTAAAGTGCTTTGAGATCCTTGGATGAAAGGTGCAATAAGAAATCAAATTATTCACTTCTTTTAGTGCGATACAAGAATGCACTTCTGTTGAGATGGCTAAAGGCTTCCAGCTCTTTATAGCTATTCCACATACTCTTCACTATAATTTCCCTCCTCTCATTTGTTATATCTGCTGGGAGTTAAAAAGGACAAATTTTGCAATCAAGAATACCTAAATTGTCATAGTATTGTGCGGATGAGGGCTAAAATAATCTGATATTCTTTTTAAACTGTGTTGCATATTCCTTCTCCATGCAACCCTAAAGCTAACAGAAAAAGGATATATGATAACTTTGTCTGCTCTTCACCTAACCTGGCTAACTTGTGTCTTTTTGAGACAAACTCAGCCTCTTCACCAAATAAAAACCTGCAATTTGGGTCAATGGTTACAAAACTTATGTAAGGTGTAGAGTAGGTGTTTTAGTCCTATATGCTTTGCAGTCATTTAACAAACAGCCATTAAACAGCACAGTGTAAAGGTAGTTACCAAGTTAAAGGTTAAATCTTCGGAATCGTAGAAATGTGAAATGAAAGCAAGATTAGATTTTACAGAGCTGGATCAAAGAAAAGGCACAGAGGTTCACGTAGAGCTGCTAGGCTAACATACTTTCCAGAAGACCCTTAACTAATACACAAACTAATTCAGTACTTAAAATTTCAGTTTAATAAAGAGGTGACACAGGTGCTTCACTAGAGCAGGCTCAGCATCTAACAGACTGTTATTGAGGAGATGACACAATGTACATAAATATCCTTTTCATTAAAATTAACTGCTGCATGGAGATAAGAAACATGAGCAAAATAGTTGTTAAAGAAAGTAGATGCAAGAAAAGCCCAAAAATTAAAAGAGGAGGAATGAAACTTGATTAAAATATTTTGTTTTCCTGCCTCTCTCATCCGGGATTCATGCTTTACACTTTCTTCTCCTCCACCACCTTTTTTTCTTCTTCTTTTTAGGATTGAACGGGCAGGAGAACTGAAAAGGATATAACCAAACAAACAGAATAAAAAATATTGTAGTTACAGCTTTCACCCAGCTTCACCTACTCAAAAGGAATTTACATGTCTTCACTCATACAGTACGTGATTCATATTTTGACTTTTCACTGTTGTGGAGGCAAAGTATAACATATTCCTCCCATTGGTGATCATTTACATGACGCTCATTCATGTAAAAACAAACACAAACCCCCTTTTTTAAAAAACAAACCCCGAAACTTTTCACATTTCAAAAGTTGGCCTAGAATAGTCACTGCATACCTGAACAGTTCTCTGGGTGGCTTGAGAAAATATGTTTTCCTACTCTTTATTTCAGTATCCTGTTAGAGCTAGATCTGGACTGATTTCACCAGTGTTTGTAGATATCTCATCCCAAACTTGAAGGCACTGGCAATTTTGGAGCTATAGCTCACTGCTTCTTTAATTACTTTGGTGTTCCTTCTGCTACATCTGACTGTCCATCAGACGTAGTTACAAGAAGGACCCCACAAAAGCAGCAGTTTCTACTGAACAGTCTTCTTGGCATCAGGTTTTATCCTTAATTTTTAAATTAATGTGGGATTTGTTTGTACATTTCACTTTAGAAAATTATTATTAGTGTATTAAAACATTTGCTTTTCAAATAGCACAAACTAATTATCCAGTAATCCTTAACTGCCTACTTCTATGCAGTCATTCAAGATGGAAATTTTTCAAATAGGAAGTGTAAGTGGCATCCCTTACTTTTACACTGAAAATCTGATACTCCTGATATACTTAATTTTTGAGGGACTGAGACGTAAATATGAATTATGATTATCTTGAGAACAACAGCAACTAAAATAAAACCACCTTTGATGATAAATAGGTAACCCACTATTGACTTGGAATATCTTGTCATGTAAAAATACCATACATCCTTCCTTTTTAATTATCTTCCCACTGTATTCAAGTCGATAATACATATTATATACTATTTTACCTTTAGAGCATTTTTTTTCCCTAGACGTAGCCTAGTCATCTACCAGTTCTGCTGCTTAACTACAGCCTACTATCATCCCAGGATCCCTAACCACTGTGTAGAAGGAATACTATCTTGTGGCTGAAATATTAATTATTGTGCTGTTGAGCTTTGTATTTAAAACTCTGATTTATTATCATGTCCACTGACATAAAAATTATTTTTATTGAAAATTATTTCCTATCATCAAAATGTTAGTGTACAAGCCACCTACTACCTGAAATTCCCCACTTTGGTTTGTTTAACCCAAAACATAAAAGTCACACTTTAGAAAATGCTTCCTGTTTAGGTGTACCAGTGTTGAAAATACATCTGAGCTGAAAAGATGCTATCAGAAGTTGATGGACTAGCTCTTGAGCAGGTGTTAATTATCCTAGCTCTACTGGTTTCTTTCAATTTGCACCAGCTGAAAAACTGGCCTAGCATGTCAATGTAATGACAGATTTAGGAACTTTCTTTTCCAGTTGTGATGCAAAACATTTAAATAGTGCTTGAGTAGCCGATTATCAAAATATAATTTATGCGACGTTCATTAGTAGATAATGATGAATGTACATGTGTTTTAAGAATGGGTCTAAGAATGACATAACTTCTGAGTGAACATGAGATATCAGAAAATGCTCTCTGGATGATATTCATCTGACCAAATATGGATATCTTTAAGGTAGGCATCTAATCTGAGTCCCTTTGTTGTCAATGAAGAGAAACAGGCACTTCTAGTAGTTACTAATTTTATTCTCAAGAAGATATCTTGACCAGATCAGGTGGACTGTATCCTTAAAGTGTCTGCTTCTCTTACTGACTCAAGACGGGAACATCAAATAACTTACTCGGACATAGATGCCTGCCTTGCTCATGTCTAAAGTCAGGTGAGATGAATCTCACCCTGAGGGCCTCACATTGGCTCCATCTTATCAAGTTGTCCCTCTATTATTCAATGGTTACTAAAACAAAGCTAAGTAAAATGTGGTAACTCTGCACCATTATGTTACAATACACAGGACAGTAGATAACAGCCCTATCATACATGTATGACCATATAATTTGGGCTAGCATCTTAACTTAAAATTATATTGTGCATATAATTGCTTCTATCTTCCTTTCATGTAACAACTCTTTTAAAATTCTTACTTCTCCACAGTTTGCATAGTTAAACTGAGAGATTTTGATTTCTACTCATGGATCCACTAAGTAAAATGCCATTTTGATCTTTGCATATAGTTATTGCTTATCTAGTATTAATGGTGTGTATGGTGTTAAAAAAGTGACAATTTCCTGCTTGGTGTGTATTCTTTCTCTTTTGGTGAATGGTGTTCATCAGTAAGAGAATAAATCCAGTAGTACTCACTCCTTTGCCACCTACCATATTTACAAGAAATACAGGAGTGAGAAAAGTTGGAAACCTAGGCAATTATGTCATATTAGTAATATGATTGTAATAAACCCCATAAAACTGTAAATATAGAAGTGAAAGGAGAAACATAAGTATTTATGCCATAATATTTAGCAGTAGTAGTAATTAGCATTTTGATTGCCTTTCTCTTATCGGTTCTGTGAAAGAAATTCATGTGAATAGCAAATAAACAAAAATAGCCTTATGGACTATAGAGAAATTCACTTCACATGGGCCTTAGTGTTATAGAATTGCTGTATGATTAACAATATTTGACATGCAGTTTGTTTTCTGTCCGTGCGATTGAACAACAGTTCCAATTGTAGCCACTTTTTTCTTTTCTTTTCTTTTCTTTTCCTTTTTCTTTCTTTCTTTGTTTCTTTCTTTCTTTGTTTCTGTTTTTTATGCAGAAGACCATCAAATGAATTGTCACAATACTCGAATAATGCAAGACACAGAAAAAGACGATAACAATAATGATGAGTATGATAATTACGATGAACTGGTGGCCAAGTCATTGTTAAATCTTGGCAAAATTGCAGAGGATGCAGCATACAGAGCCAGGACAGAATCAGAAATGAACAGCAATACATCTAATAGTCTGGAAGATGATAGTGACAAAAATGAAAATATTGGTCGGAAAAGTGAGCTGAGTTTAGATTTAGACAGTGATGTTGTTAGGGAAACAGTGGACTCCCTTAAATTATTAGCACAAGGACACGGTGTAGTCCTTTCAGAAAACATTAATGACAGAAATTATGCAGACAATACTTCACAGCAAGATAATAGGAATATGAACTTTGTAATGCTAGGGAAGCCTGTGAACAATGGACTTACGGAAAAAATGGTGGAGGAGAGTGATGAAGAGGTGTGTCTCAGCAGTTTGGAGTGCTTAAGGAACCAGTGTTTTGATCTGGCTAGGAAACTCAGTGAGACAAACCCACAGGAAAGAAATCAACAGCAAAACATGAACACTCGTCAGCATGTCAGGCAAGAAGATGACTTCCAAGGAAGAACACCAGACCGGAATTACTCTGATATGATGAACCTAATGAGGCTTGAAGAACAGTTGAGCCCCAGATCTAGGACTTTTTCTAGCTGTGCAAAGGAGGATGGTTGTCATGAAAGAGACGATGATACCACCTCTATTACTTCAGATAGGTCTGAAGAAGTGTTTGATATGACAAAAGGTAACTTAACCCTGCTTGAGAAAGCAATTGCTTTGGAAACTGAGAGAGCAAAAGCCATGAGAGAAAAAATGGCAGTGGAAGCTGGAAGGAGGGATAATATGAGATCATTTGAGGAACAGTCTCCAAGACACCTTTCTGGAGATGACAGGAAGCCTAAACCCAGTGACGGCCATGTCAAAAAGCCATATTATGGTAAAGGTAATATTTCTATATACCGTATGTTATGTCATGAGAAAGTGTGAGCGAACGTGTTAAGTTTTGCGTAGAATTCTGAAATGAAGTTATTAATTCCACAAAATGGGAACTTTATTTAAATTGTAGTAGTATGGCATGATTGTAAAATAGCATCATGCTGTGGTTATAAAATTAAAAAAAAATCATTCTGCAGTGTTAGAAATATGTACAGTATTTCAGTGAATATCATTTGGCAAAATTAAAAAAATAACTTTTCAGGGAAACAAAACAAATAAGAGATCATGTTGAAAGAGGCAAAGATTTTTCTCAAGTTTTTAATATATTTTATAGTAATAATTAAAAAACAATGAAGAGAGTTACGTTGCAAACTATATCGGAGAGTGGGGGTTTGTGTAGCAGGTAGTCAGTCAGCTATGAAGTTCGTATTTTACAGATTGGATTGGGTAGGTGGCATCGTGATTTATAAAATTATCATCAAATGACAGTTATTGATGAAGCCTCTCCCATCTAAAATGTAGAATTGCCTGATAGAAATTGAACAGTATCAGAATGACCGATAACGTAAGATAGGGGCAGTGACTGCACATTAATTATCTTAAGATAGTAAGGTAATGGAAACCATTTGCTATGCAAGGCATGGTGTGGCCTGGGCTGAGATCAATAGCAATTTCTTTCTTATGTGCATTCCACTTCACTGGTTTCATTCCATTGTGGAAACAGTTAAGGTGCTGCCTTGACCATAATTCAATATAAAAGAAAAAAAAAAGACAAAAAAAGAACAGACTAAAGGTTACCTTTAGAATGCCTTTTAATTTACGGGATTATCATGGTGATGGTGTGTTTATATTACCACACCCCTTTTCAACGTGTCTACATCTGTACATGTAGGGCTGTCTTGTATAAAGTGTTCAATACCTCCTGAGACTCATTGAACACCCCTGATTCCCATTGACTTTAGTGGAAGTTGAGGACGTGGTATTTCTTGGGAGATGCTAAGCAGGGACGGGGTTCATCTTATGTTTGTTGTAAAATATTTGGTTTCCTTTCTACAACTGAGATGGTGGGCATTTTTCTCATTTTTATAAATCCCTGTTTTGGAAGAGTAATATCCTAAGATCTGCCTGTGACATTCAGGTAGGCAGCCAACATCTTGGTCCAAGAAAGGTTTTGATCTTTTTTTACAAGCCTTAAAGAAAAGTAATGACCAGTCTTTTAGAAAAGCATGGAAATTACTCATGTCAAACACTCTTCTGCAATGTATTTTAGTGAAGTTTTGTTTGTTTTAAACACAAATATATGGTCCAGTGAGTGCTGTAGTAACTTTGGGTATTTGGGGAAGACAACTTTATTTAGTTAGTGTATTACTGCATAGCCATGTGGATGTTGTGCTAGATGTTGTTCACATATGACCTATTGTAGGTACATTTCCCTTTGAATATATGTCTCTAATAAAATCACAGAAAACATGGCAAACCAATATTAATTTTTGAAGAGCTTTTTAACTCTGGTGTTGTCCAGCCCTTCCAGTCTATGTATGCCTGGGAAAGCATTTATGCATATAGATCTGCTGTCTCCAAAAAGACTATATAATTTCTGACAGTAACAGAAGTATGGACTTCCTATTTCAGTAAATTCTAGAGCTTCTTTGAACCATCCTATCTCTTGGGAGCTGCAGGCTGAATTGATAATAGGTCCAGACCCCAGCCAGGGACTAAATATTGTGGTATTTTGGACCAAGAAACTTTGTGGAGTGGATCATTCTATGCTTTTTTAATAAAGGAAGAAAGAAAAACTTATTCCTTACTTACTTTAAAAAACATAGGAAACATTCTGGTAGTTGTTGAGAGAGGAAGCTTTAAGTAAGACAATTGCTTATATCATTTGTTCTCCACTCACACATTATCTTCCAAATACTCCTGGAAGAGATACGCGCAGAGATGTATGATATGGTTAAGTGGAAACTTTTTGGGTGCAGAAGTTTGCCGTGAGAACTACCTCCTGGCTTTAGGAGTTCTGCTTTCAGAGATTGCTGAAACAACTGTTAAGGGACCACTAACCATTTTTTCCCTGCCATTTAAAGCCTTCTAAACAGGCTTTCTTCTGAAATTTGTGAATTTTAAAACCTTTTGAGTCCTCTGACAACCTTCACTCACGCAATACTCCCATCGTGGCAAGGAGCGAGGAAAGGTTACAGAATTAAATAAAACTATGCAATATTTCTCCCAATTAGCAGAAAAGGATTTACAAAAGAGTATCCAGTGTTTTGTATAAAGTTGTGGAAAGTTCAGTCAAATGTCTTCCATTAAAAGCAATGGGAAATTGTGCAAGTACAATTCTATGCAAGTTTTGAAATCATTAAGAATAGTATACAGCATCTTTTCTGACTCATTAGACCATAAAGGCTCTTGACCAAGGATCTGATACATGCTATAACTTTATAGCATACACTTGAATACAGAGGAGGATTTGCTTGACACTGTAGGATGTAGGTGTCCGGATCCTCAGCTGCTCTAAATTAGAATACCTTCATTGACTTCGGTGGAGTTCTGACAATGTGGAGTAGCTAAAGTTCCTCTAGTTTAAAGTCTTTAAAAAGCCATTATGGTCTATTAATCATCTACATTTTTTGCAGTCCTTGAATATTGTTATATTTACATAATTTATATTTCATTTACATTACTTACTCACTTGCCTAATACTTTTACACATCCCAAAGTACTTGACATGAAGAGTTGCTTAGAGTTGTGTATGTATGTAGCTGTGGGCTTGCTGTTCTAGTGGTCTCAGCACAGGCCTATCTGGCAGGATTTCAAATCCCTCCTCTGACATTTGCTCCTTCTGTGGCCTTGGATTTAACTTCTTGATCTCTTTGTTTCAATTTCCTGACGTATAAGAGTATGGTATTTCCAGGAGTGTTGTGATAACTGTATAGCACTTTGGAGATAGATTTGTATGTGTATTTATCATTAAAGAGCATGAAACAAAGAACTGTAATCTACAGTCAACATGCAGGTTATGTAAAATAAAACTTTCATAATTAGGGATTTCATTTGCAAAAGACAAGGTTTAAATAGCATATTAATTTAAGAATGGATTTAAGACATGGAGAGTCATTACAATGAGCTAAAGAATTTCTCTAAAATGAAGGGGTTTTGGAAGAACTTGGAATGTAAAAGTGTATATATATATATATAAAAATATATATGAATGTGAACTCTGGATTGTATTGATTAATGCTGAAAAAAATGGGTTGTATGTGAAGTTCTGCAAGTACTGAAATTTCCACTGGTTGTACTGAGGGTTGCATTTGTTGAAGCTGGGATGGAATTTAATGTAAGAAAGACCTAATGGAAAAAAGTAGCAAAATCTTATTTTCCAGAGATGAAAGCATAAATACTGAAGCAGAGTAATGACAAGAGCAGCATAAAATACTTAAATGAGGATAGCTCAGACTGGGTGTTGAAAGGAGGATGGACTAAAAAAATGGAAGGGGGATGTTGGTTGATCTTGAGCCAAAATGGTAGCAGTTAAGAGTATCCTGAACTTTGTTCCCTTAATTCTAATAAGAAAATTAGCAATAGTCTCCAAAATCTGGCAACTGTGGTCAAGATAATAAGATGTAATTTGTATCACATGCTGGGCTGGAAGGGTAGGGATGTTATTTTATAGATGTTCTGTTAAAGGAAACAAGCTGATGAAGTATGTGAGAAAGTTCTAGTTCAGGATTAATCTCACCAGCAGTTCCACTACATTATTGGCAGAAAACTTTATTTTGTTGAAAAAATGTCTATTTAGACTTTTCATTGATTTGTAGACAGAAGATCCAACAACATTCTAAAAGATCATTAACCTTTTAAGCATATTAATATTCAGGCATTATATATGCATGTTTGTAATGGCCCAAATTTACACAGCCAGTGATACTTTCAGTAATTCTGATTACAGCGTTTACCCCACCATAATTTATTGAAGATAAAGGAATATTTACATAATTTCTACCACTTCATAAGGAATTTAAAGAAAACAAGAGTTGTCTCCTCAATGAGCTTTGGAAAAGGGATTTATTTGTGCTGAATCGTTGAATCATTATGCTGAAGAGCTGGGTTTGCTACTCTCAGGACATTGAACTATGACAGTACATTTGCAGACCTTAATACATCAGGCAAATAAGAATGTAATGAAGGGAAACTCCAACTAAACAGTTTCCAAATGACCTTACACCCTTGAGCTGATGCTTGCCAGCAGAACATTGATTGACAGTGGTATGGCTTTGCTATAAAAAGGTCACTTTCCAATCACTGTGGATGGATATTGCTGTGATCATAGGAGCCTGCAGTCTGAAAAGAAGATAATGGGATAAAAGTGACAGAACTGTGTTAAGAAGTAGAAGGGTTTTTTTTTCCTTCTAGTTTTCATAAGAACATTTACCAAAGAGTAAATGACATGATTAAATGAACCTTCTTACAGAAATGTGAAAAGCATCATTCACTTGACACATTTGTTGTAAATTATAGATCCCTCAAGAACAGAAAAGAAAGAGAGCAAATGTCCTACCCCTGGGTGTGATGGAACTGGCCATGTAACGGGGCTTTACCCCCATCACCGCAGTTTGTCAGGATGCCCACACAAAGATAGGGTCCCTCCAGAAAGTAAGTTCACATTGTTTCATGGAAACCGGGGATAAAACTACAAAGATTTTTCTAGCATGCTTTTTAAACCTTTTATTTAAAAAATTAATTTCATTTTTCAGTATGGTTTGTCTCAACTTAGTCAACTGTTCTGTGTTATACTTTTTCCTTTATTCCATCATTTCCATTCTCTACTAACTTTTACACTAAAAGAACAACTTTTAAAGCTGTATTCTTTGATTTTAAGAATCCTAGGTTATTTTTAAATAGATGTATTCAGTCAACAGAGAAAAAGATTTCCAGAAGATGTGCACTGCTTTTACTTCTGTGTGCTGATGTCACATCAACTGTCTCTGTTGTCTTGTACAGGAATAATTGCACTTGAAAAACTTGCAACCCCTTTCCTTTGTTGTTGTTGTATCTGAAACATAATTTATATTAAACTAGTTTATATTATTAAAAATAACAATTTGGCTGTTTACTTAGTTACACAACTCAGGATTTTGAGCAAACATCCCCTGTCAGTCACATGGGTGGAATTTCCTGCCATGGCAGCGGATTCTCTGCAAAGGAAGTTCACCCATATGAGCTCATGGACGTTCACCTGAAGGCAGAGGGCTCCGTTTCTGGAAGTCACCTCCTTGGCTGGTGGAATCGGCATAGTTCTGTTGCAGCTAATTGCTCTACGCTGATTTACACCAGGCAAGCGTCTAGCTAAGATCCAGTTCTCTTTCACACCAATTTTAAAATGGAGTTAATTCCATTGAAGCCTATGGACCTAAAATCCCCACTGTCCATCAGCACTTATAGGCCTAACCTCAACGGATTTACAACAGCCTAAAGGAAAATGTTATAAAAACAGTCAGGGCTAAAATGGTCCCCAGTTTCCAAAGGAAAGTAGATTCTGAAGGATAGGAAAATGGAAGTAGATTAGCGCACCAAGAGTGGCAGACATAAAAAGTCTCCTCTTTCACGGTAGAGTGGCTTCTTCCAGAAGTAAAGTAATGAGGAAGTGCTTTAGGAAACTTTGCTGTAGCTTGGTTGATATCTGAATACAGTAGAACAAAATAGAGTAATTTCTCTGCTTTGTGAGACCCTGTAATTTTCTGAAACACAAATATTTATTCAGTTGCTCAAAGTTCTCTGGTTTTTACAAATGGTAGATAAAAAGTTCTTTAGAAGACTTTGTAAATCAAAGAAGAATATAGCTTTAAACTGTTTGCATGCTCTTGTACCTACTAAAATGAAAAAGGTGAGCTCATCTTTTTATTTTTTTCCTGTGATGTTGGCCTTGTGAAGCATGTTTCAAGAACAGCTTTGAATAGTAGGAATTTCAGAGTAAAGCTTTTGCATCTATACACGTTTTAGTACACTGATGATGGGGTGATGATGATGGTTATCTTTTAATCGGTATACGTCGTTAAATTCTCAAGTCTCTGAACAGGTTTTATTCAGTTCTTAACTCAGTCAAGGAATTCACTGATTTTATTAGATCTCTTTTTGAGTGAGAACTAAATACAGGCTTCCAGACTAGTTCTTGTGTGAGAAAACCAGAACTTTGCAAGAGCTGGATGGCCTTTTTCCATAGAGTGATGTACTGCCATCCAGCGCTGAGACATGGATTCAGATATGTCTCACATCATACAAAACTCTTTAGTGTTACCAAAAAGTTCTTGATAATTTGGCACTTCATAGCATGAGCTTTATGATTTAGAGGAGCACTGCTCTGAGCAGCCTTGGGAGTAAGTTTTCCATCCAGCTTGCAATGGATGCAGATGTAAATCAGTTTACTTGCTTAAGCTTGTACCACTTATTTCTTTTTTACACAGTTTTCTTTTTTTTTCTGCCATCCCTCAATTTTTTAAGTGCTTATTTTTAGTTTTTAGTCTTTTGAAAAAAATTTCTACCCATTGCAATTTTCACATCTGTAGAGAATACAAGTAAAAATTAAAGGACCAGTTCTGCTCGTCATATAGATATGAATTATATATCTATGTAGAAGTGGGCAGAACTGGCCCCTAGCTCAATTGGGCTGTCTTATAGTTAGGGTTAAATTCTGTTTAGGGTTGTACTGAGGTGTGTTTCAAATAATTCAGTGTTCTACCAGTAAAACTTGAGAGCAGATTTTCAGCTCTTGAGTTTGATACTGTGTGTATAAAGCTATGCATTATGAATGCATACATTTTCTCAAAGAATTTTTCTAGACTGTAATTTTGCATTGGACCGTTGCTAGCACACACTGTTGAGCTGATCTTTGCTCAGTGTTTTTGTATGAAGAAGATGTTGGAAGTCTTCTGCTTCACTGTTGCACCAGAGATGCATTTGTTTATAGGTTCTGTAACCTTCATAACTTTGTTGCCCTGTGTTAATGAGCATAGGGTCACGATACTTACTTCCCTCATCAGGCTTTATTGGCTATGTGTGTCACGTGTATTTTGAGGAATGCTGGTTGTTAATGAATCCTGCTTTGTTTTAAAATGGTTTCATATATACTGGGATTTGATTTTTTTTTTCTTGTTTTCATACTCTGCTGTTTTCTCTTACTCTCCTTGTCAAGTTCTTGCCATGCATGAAAATGTTCTTAAGTGTCCTACACCAGGCTGCACAGGCCGGGGCCACGTAAATAGCAACAGGAATTCCCACCGAAGGTAAGGATGCCGTCGCTGGACGCCAATCTAGAGGGAACAGTGCCTCCGAACTGCAGCCCTTCTAGCAGTCCATTGGCGGGGGGGTGTGAGTGTGTGTTTTGTTGTTTTGTTCTTAAGATTGACAGATGGTGCTTCGTGTGCTTTATCCATTTTAAAGAGTAACATTTATTCATGTATTTTCTGAGGAGGACGAGTGTGCGTTTGCTTCAGTATGGATGAATTGAGCCACAGAAGACATTTTAAGCATCCTTTAGCTTTTTGGGTGGATTTTTTTTCTTTTTGTTTTGATATTAGCTGAACAGCAGTGATACGAAATGAATAGTGTGACTCCTTACGGGTATGTTGCAGGGAGAAGGAAGAGTCTGCCAACATCAGCAGGACTAGGGCAGAGTTCTTGTTCTCACACTTCAGTCTCTTCAGGGATTATTTTATAGTGCATGAAAAAATCCACTCTACTCCAAAAAAAGATTTTTTTAATACATGAGAAACAGCATTTTAAGTACACAGACATTATAAGAGTTAGCTTTCCTACTGATCACAGTCTCAATGCCAAAGTCCTTATTCAGCTAAAA